CAGTACTTCTGTTAGTCTCAAAGGTGCCACAGGACCCTCTGTTGCTTTTCACCTTTAAGAAAGAGGACAAGTCAATGTTCGGGAATTACCTTGGCATTGCTCTCCTCTTCATTGCTGGGAAGATCCTTGCTTGCATCCTCTTGAATTGTCTCCTTCCTCTTGGCAAAGATCTCCCAGTGTGGTTTCAGACCATCTCAGGGCACCATCAACATGATTTTCATTGCACAACAGATCCAAGAGAAGTGTAGAGAACAACACCAGCCATTGTTTATGACATTTATGATCTAACTAAGGCCATTGAGTCCATCAATCATGAAACATTATGGAAGGTGCTGTCTAGGTTTGCTTGTCCACTGAAGTTCATTCGTGGTCTCAGGTTACTTCATGATGGGATGACTGCCACTGGCCTCTAATGGGTTGGAGACAGACCTGTACACCATCTTTACTGGTATCAAGTAGGGCTGCATTATTGTCCTAAACCCTTTTTTCCCATTTATCTTACTGTGATCTTGATTTTTATTCATGACCACCTTTCTTCTGGAATTGGGAATGAGTATCACATGGACAGGCAGCTCTTCAACCTGCAGCATCTTCATTCTAAAACTAAGATCAACAAGACTATTACTGACCTTCAGTATGCTGATGACTGCGCTATCCTTGTGCACACTGAGTCTGAATTGCAATCCACCCTAGATCTTTTCTCAGGCACCTATCATAGCCTGGGACTCTCCCTCAACATTGGGAAGACTAAGGTGCTACACCAACCTTCCCCATCAAAACTTGTTCCCCTTCTCCCAGAAATCATCATTGGTGGTGGACACCTGGACAGTGTTGACCCTTTCCCTTACCTTAGTAGCCACCTCTCCCAGACAGCCCATCTTGATGTTGAGATTAAACATAGATCCATTGTTCCAGCGTATCCTTTGGAAAGTTTCTCCACCATGTCTTTATTGACAGAGATCTGCAGATGGAAACTAAGATCCTGGTCTACAGTGCAGTAGTCATCCCCACTATTATGAGTGTGAGACATGGGTGACATACCTAAGCCATCTTAAGAATCTGGAGTGGTAACAACAGCACTGTCTGATAAAGATTCTCCATATCAGGTGGCAAGACCATTGCACCAATCCCAGCCTTCTCTCTGTAGCTAACATCACCGTGTTTAGGCGAAGATTATGAAACATCAACTTTGCTGGGCTGGCCATTGTGTGTGGACCACTGATATTTGTCTTCTGAAACAAGTCTTCTTTTTTCTTCAACTTAGTCATGGTAAGGGGACCCAGAGAGGACAGAGGAGATGCTACAAGGACACCCTGAAAGTGTATCTTAAGAAGGGAGGCTTTGAACCCACAAATTGGGATGAGCTGGCTGGCAATAGACCACAATGGTGTCGCATCATCCAAGCTTTTGGAAGAAAATCGTCTTGCTCAAGAGACTGAGAAATGGCAGAGGAGGAAGGAAAGGGTACAGCATGTTCTCCAAACAACCACCTGTCACGTATGTGGAAAAACCTATAGAGCATATATTGGACTCCTCTGCCATCTTAAGTCTCATCAATGACTTTTCCCCGTGGCAGACATCATCCTTGTATCAAGAGGTAGCCGGTGACAGTGACAAGACCTGGTCCATTAGGCCTAGTGCTCTCTGGCAGGAGCCTTTGCCAGCCAAAAAAAAAAAAAAAAGATTTGTCCTAAATGAGACTCTTGCATTGGCCTCTTTAGTTTCTTTTTTAGTGTCAGCTAGTCCCTCTCATAAGAATTATTTATTTATTTATTTGAATCACTGTATCCCCTAGAAATCCTAGTCACGGAACAGAGGGGAGGCATGAAGGTTTGAATTGTCCAGCTGTTTGGGGTGGTATGAATGCACCATCAAAAGCTGGCTGGAATGAACATATATTAATGGAGGGACATTGACACTTAATGACAGGGAAGCCCAGGTTGGCTGAACATGTGAACTCAGTTTGGATTAAAGGAGGAAGACAATGGACTGAAGGTAGCTGGGCCTGTGTTAAGAATAGGACTCACCGGTTCTTTACTGGGAACTTAGAGACAGGGTGACAAGGAGAGAGGCCTGGGATTGAAGCAGAGCATGGAACTAAGGCCATGGATCCCATCAATATGAACTGTCTTTAGCTGACCTTTTCCAGGCTAACCTAAATACTTCCAGATGCCGTGTTCCAGTTAAGTATTAGAACCTACCTTGTTTTAAAAAGTCTGCTTGGTGTCGCTGCAAATACTTACTGAAGTGCATGGTGCTGTACAAAAGTAAAGTGTCTCTCTCAGGAGTCTGAATTAATCTGAACTTGCTGCAGACACCCATGGAGTGAAACAAGAGTGGCTGGAGCCCAAAGACTCAGTCTCAGGATTATTGCAATGGCATATCCTGCCCTTATGAAACAGTGTGGGTCATTAGGGTCCAGCACACTCAAGGGATTACTTCCACGGGACTGCAGCCCAGATCCTGTGCATCTGCAATATAGGCACTGTGCAAACATCAAACAGAAAGAGCTTGCAATCGATCAGTGTGTATCTATGTGTGGTTGGGTGGGTGGATGAGGTCACAGATTAAGAGATTTTTAAATCCAGAAATGACCATCAGATCATCCAATCCATACTGAACCCCATAACTTGTGTTTGGCGAAAGCATCTTCCAGAAAGGCCTCCAGTCTGACTTTGAAGACGCCAAGAAATGGAGAATCCAACATTTCCCTTGGCAGTTTGTGTCAATGGTTAATCACCCGGACTGTTAGAAATTGGTGCCTTATTTCTAATTAGAATTCAATGGCAAAAGATTGTCTAGAAACTCCTGAATCTCATAGTGTCAATGGCCAATCCAAATATGTGCCATGTGTATATTGAGGCATTGGTCAAAGAGGGTACAGGGAAGGTGGTGTTGGTAACTTCCCCTCTCCCACTTTTTGTCCTTTAATAGTATTATATGGAATCCTGTGAGAGTGAATGGGTTTGTAAAAGAAAGGGAAGTGTCTGTATATTTCAGCAACTGTGGGGTGGCAGAGTCAAGGTATGTGTGTGAATGGGCATACTGGGGCATTGCAGAAAATGAAGAGTTGCAAGGGCAACCCTCAGCTGTGCATTTCCTGGGTTTCAGAAGTTAGAGTTTTATTCAGCTCTGTGTTCTGTGAGGGGACAACATACCACCAAGCAACATTAACTCTGCATTAACATAGGTTGGTTGTTTTTTTAATTGGGAATGGATTTGTTGCTAGTAGTCATTTAAGCAGTTGTAGATATAATGTCCTACAATTTGCATGCTGGGCCCCAAGAACCCTGCTTTGGTACACCTCCCCAGCCATGCCCCTGACCCCTCACTACATTTCCCCCCCACCTCCAACCTGGACCCCACTATTGTACCCAGACTCTGCCCCCTTACAAACAGGGAAGACAACTCCTTGAAGTCTTCACTCCCTAGTAGACACATGTTTCTATTACCATTACTTCCCCATCTCCTATAACCTGACTCACAGGCAGTGCCTGAAACAAAGGACGACCATGTCACAGTGGAATGGTGTTCATGGTCACATCTCGGAATTGTTGGAGGGTAGAGTTTGTGGCAGGGCCAGTAAGAGAAATCACAGACAGGGCTTCTGTTCCAAAATACGGGCAGTTTTATGTTTAAGATAAAAATCCTCTTACTCCTTTGCAGTAGATGTACCCCATCCCTGAGAATCAGTGAGGTGTCAGAGCTTGTAATGTTCCTGTGCCAAACAGCACACTTCAGCAGGTTCAAGATGACCAAAAATGTTCTCCCAACACGTGTTAATAGCTTTCACATTGTCACTGTAGCCAGTGATGGTGTTAGGCACCTGCAAACAAGGCAATCTCAGAGGGCTCTGAAACAGAAAGAGGACCCCCTGAGAGGCAGATCTGACTTGTGAGGGCCTTCCGCTTAGTCCTCTGGACATCAGTAACTCTGTCCTGCTCCCCACTGGGGGGTCTGCTGTAAGAACAGCTTCACTCAGGCTCCCAGTGGCTCTAGCACCTGTGTTCTCCTGCCCAGTCCTAGCTGTGGTGTTCCCACGCTGACCCACCTCTGAAAACCCTCACACGCCTATCTCAGAGGATGCGCTGCAGGTGGGAGGGAAAGGGGCCACCTGGAAGCCAGGGAGAGCAAGGGCCAGAGATGCCAGGAGCCCAGGGCCAGCTGGATCCACATAACAGGGTTGCCTTTACAGCAGAGCAGGGAGCAGGAAGGAACAGCTGATGCCCTGCAGGCCAAATGGCAGTTTGGCAGTTCCAGCCCCTCTGCTCCCCTTCCGGGCGACACTTTTCTCTCCCTTGTAGGACATCCTCTGAGCCACCAGGTGCTGGGCTTGGACTAGTTTGGTGGTGGGTGATCAGAGGCAGGTCAGGGAGGGATGCTGCAGCACTGGACTGGGCAGGGGAATACAGGGGATGGAGCTGCTGGGAACCTGGGGCAGACCCAGAGATGAAGCCAGAGCTGAGTAGTGGGGCTGTCTAGACAGCAGAGCCCTCAGCTGGGGACAGGAGCTGGGCATAGGTGGGGGAGGAAGGAATGGGCTCTGGAGGAGTCACCCCCATTCCACTGAACCTCTCCCTGCTCCCCTACTGCCTCCATCTTCCTCCCAATCTCAGGAAAAGGTCCCAGCACTGAGCGTTGCAGGGGTCCCCATGGGGCAAATACCCAGCACTGGCTGCAGAGATCATTCAGACACAAAGCCAAATCAGAGAAAACTGTCACAGGTCCTGGACACAAATCTCTGATACAGTTCAAATCTGCTCTCATACATTGTAGGAGGTGTACACCAGGAATAGGGCAGAAATCATTTCCTTAAAGAGAATTACCCAAATGCCAGGTGGCTTGTAACCACTGAAGTCACTAAAGAGATGCTGCATAGTAGGCAAAACAGGATGACAATACAGGCCATTTATCTCCACTCAAATTAGCTTTATTTAGCAGTCCCCAATCTCCTGATATAATCCTTGCTCTCTCACAAACTTCTGCAAATGCATGATCCAGAAATAGCCCAGAATCCACCGATTAGCAACCCTGGCAGTGACTATATTTCCTTTCCCTCAGCAGTCAAGGTACCTGCTCTGTCAGTTCCAAGCCTCCACATTATTTGTCTTTGGAAAAACCTCATTCATCTGCTCCTAGGTCAGGAAATATACACAAGGCCCACTTAAGTCCGCCCAAGTGAGAACGGTCTGACGCCAGTTTGGTAAATGACATCATCCTTTATTGCTTCCAATGCATTTCTTACTGGCTTCCTTAGACAGTGCTCTCCATTTCCATAGCCACATAATCTAACTGGATATTTCTGTGTATGTGTGTGGGTGTGTCTGTGTGTGTGCGTGTGTGCACGTGCATTGCATTGCATTGCATCTGGACTAAACGGCGTGCCTCTCTAAGCCACAGAAATTCCCCAGCCACAACCAGAACCACAGGTAAAAAGAGAGGAAAGTGACCTAGCAATGTGGGGTTGAACATTATCAATCTGTCTCAGGCATGTTTGAAATCTCTCATTCCATTTCTCACAGGTTCAAAAGAAGCCTCACCCCTGCCCTGGTGATGCACTTGCTTCTACACCACAACCAGAACCACAGGTAAAAAGGGGAAAGTGACCCTTGAGCATTCTGCAGCCGCTCAGTCGGTCAGTGACCCATTCCCAGCCCCAAGTGATTAGGGTGACTAGATGTCCCGATTTTATAGGGACAGTCCCGATTTTTGGGTCTTTTTCATATATAGATTCCTATTACCCCCCACCCCCATCCCGATTTTTCACACTTGCTGTCTGGTCACCCTACAAGTGATGCACGGGGAGGAGAGGGGAGCTTCACCCCTCTTCCATCTCCTCTGACTGTCCCTCTGTGTGTGTGTGTGTGTGTTTGTGTGTGTGTGTGTGTGTGTGTAAGGGGAGTGGTTGGTGTGTGTGTGTGTGTGTGTGTGTGT